CATAGATAGGGGTAGGATTTGAACCCAAGTCCTCTGATACCACATTCAGTGCTTTTGGCACTTTACCTTAAAGATGTCACAACAATCTTGTGAGACAGTCAGCAGAAGTGCTATTTGTTGCTGTTGAGTTGTTTCAGTCATGGCCTACTCTTCATGACCCCATTTGGGGTTTTCTTGGCAGAGGTATTGGAGTGGTTTACCATTTTCTTCTCTAACTCCTTTTACAGATGAGGAAACTGAGGCAAACAGGGTTAAGTGACTTGCCCAGGGTCACATAGCTAGTAAGTGCATTTGAACTCACATTTGAACTCAAGTCTCCTTTACTCCAGGCCTGGCCCTCTATCTACTGTGCCACCTAGCCCAGAAGTGCTATTATCTCCCATTTAATATACAGAGAAACCATAGCTCAGAAAAGTTAAATGAAATTTTTAATAGTCATACTGCTGATCTAATAAGTTGAAGACCTGCCTCCTTTCACCTTTCCAGGCCACCCTCCCTCTGTTCTGTCCCCTACAAAAATGTGATCTGTAAGAGGAAATTGCAAATGTTTCCACTTTTGTTTCATCTTACTCCCCATTCAAGTTCTCTACTTAGGCCAAACTGGCCTTCTGGTTGTAGACCTCCCCTCCATGACATTCCATCTGCCTGTGCCAGTGTCTTTGCTTGGGCTGACCTCCATCTCCGGAATGTATTAGTTCTTCATCTCTACTTCAAATCCCTAGTTTCCTTTAAAGTCCAGCTCAGATGTCAGTCCTGCGTGACTTCTTCTTACTCACATAGACATCAGTGCTCTCTACCTTTTGAAATTGCTTTATATTAATTTGCATTTACTTCATATTTACCTATCTGTACCTGGTGCATACCCAAAAGTAAAATGTAAGCTCCTTGAGGGAAGGAACTATTTTTTTTCTTGTTTTACCAAATTTACATTTATAAATTTATATATAATATACAAATTAATAAAATACAATGTACAAATTTATAATATGAAATATACAAGTTTATAAATAATTTTAATTTATAAACAAATAAGCACTTATTATGTACCTACTATGTGCCAGGTACTGTGCTAAGAACTGGGGATTCGAGACAAAAGTTCAGCCTCGCTGTCATGGATCTCACAGTCTAATGGCGGAAAGAGCATATAAATGAGTATGTATAAAAGGAGAGAAAGCATTAGCATTAGCATGACGCCTGATACCTAGTAGGTATTTAATAAATATTTGTGGTTGAGTTGAATTGAAATGATTATAGGCTTCTGTGAATGTTTTAGTCAATCTTACAAAATGTAACCACATCCCAAATCTAAATGTGACAACTGAAATATGAACACATGACACTAGCTGTTGGGTTTCACTGTTATATTTACCATCATTTCCATATTCTTGTCAGCTAGTACTGCATAACTGTTTTCTTCACCATCATCAACAACATCTTTCATCTCATTAAAAAAATATAGATTATTATTCATTGGTTGTAACTTTAGTGGTAGATTCTCCTTCAGATTTTCATATGAGAAATTCTTCCAGAACCAAAGCAAACTCAAAGTCTCCTGTCTCAGAGGAGACAGATGCCCAAGATTCAATTTCTGCTTGATCCACATTTGAGAATTTTATCTGGCTCCTATATTGGTTAGGAAGTCACATTCCCTGTACTCTGAAATGAAAACTTCTTAATGGATCCACTTAAAAAAAATCACTGCCATGAAATTAGCTACAGTAGTGGTGTCAAATTCAAATAGAACTCTGCTCCGCCTCCCATGTTAACTCAGAAAATCACAAATAATTAACTATGTTGGATTGTACTTTTATTTACTTTGTTAAGCATTTCCCAATTACGTTTTAATCTGGTTCAGGCTGCACTCGAGGGTTTTGCTCACCCAAGTTGGACACTTTTGGCCTAAGGATTGGGAATGAACAACAGGTTTCTTTTATATGGCTATTCAACATGTTGGATTTGGGAGCAAGTATTTAGAACTCTTAGCACTTTCTACAGTGTTTATCCTAATTATGAATACAATAGAGGCATATGACATTACCTGATATTACATGAATATGGATAGGATGTATTGAATCATAGAGGCTACCAAGTGAGAGAGTAGAGAGAGAGAAGAGGGTCCAGGACAGAACCTAGGAGTACATGCAAATTTAGGGAGCATGATATAAAAGATGAATCCGCAAAGGAGACTCAGAAGGGGTCAGACAGGTGGAGGAGAATCAAGAAAGCTGTGTCATAAAAACCCAGAGAGGAGAGAGTATCCAAGGAGTAGTCAATAGTGTCAAATGCTGCAGAGAATTCAGGAAAGATGGAGGTCCAGAGAAGGGCTGGGTTCTCTTCCTACTTCCTCTGGCACTCAAGAGATCATTGGTAACATTGAAGAGAACAGTTGCAGTTGAGTGATGAGGTCAGAAGCCAGATTGCAAAGCACCAAGAAGTTAAAGAGAGGAGAGGAAGTAAAGGCAAGGGGTGAAGATGGCTTTTTCCAGGAATCTAACTAAAGGAAAAGAACTTAATAATCTGATATGTTGATTATTTATTTGTTTGTTTTATTTTCGTATTTTGTTTCTATTTTTATTTCCATCATTTATTTATTTATTTATTTATTCATTCCCTTCCTTCCTTTCTTTCTTCCTTCCTTCTAACCAAATAAACACAAGATAATTTTTTTTGGTGGGGAAAGGGGGGCAAGGAGGCACTAGCAGCTGTGGGAATCATGAAAGGCTTCATGTGGAAGATGACACAAGTTGAATTTTGAAGGAAAGTAAAGGATCTAAAGAGGTGCAGGTGAGAAAATACATTCCAAGCATGGAGGATAGCCATAAGAAAGGCATGGAGATGAGAGGTGGAGGGTCATGAGTGAGAAACAGCAAGAAGGTCAATTTGGCTAGACCACAGAGTCCATGAAGAGGGGAAATGTCCACTCTGATAAGACCGGAAAGGTAGACTGTGAAGAGTTTTAAATGACACTTTACAATAATCCTGTGAGGTAGGTGGTCAGCCAGTCAACAGCAAAGCATATATTAAGTTCTTACTATGCATCAGACACTGTAACTAAGGTTTGGGGATACAAAGAGAGGTAAAAAACCAAAACCAAACAAAACCTCACAGTACTTCCCTTCAAGGAGGTCACATTTTAATGGGAGAGGAAACAAGCAAACCAGTATGTACATATAAGTATAACATGTTTACACATATACATGTACAAGTGTAACATGTACAGCTATGTATATGCAATGTATACAACTATAAATGAGAGGTAATCTCAGAGGAGAAGGCACTAACAAGAGAGGGATGGGAAAGACTTCCTGAAGAAGGTGGGATTTGAGCTGAGTTTTGAAGGAATCCAGGGAAGCTAGGGGGTAAAGCAAGGAGATCATTGTTACTAGATCCAAGGACAGGACAAGGTCTTAGAACTATAATCCCAGGGCCCTAATCTAATCTGTTTTAGATAAACTCAGGACCATTTTAAGGAGCTGTATTTAATTTCTGTCATCAACTGAAACAATTTTTCTGTCAGTCCAATTTGGTTGTCAATGGATATTCCCAGAGTTGCCCTAAATTTCTGCATTATCTTTCTTGTTTTGCCTCTGAGGGTGCTACCTCTTTGTCCAAGGCACAGGGGTAGAGTTTGAAGAGTACTGGGAATACATTCTAATTAATAATGATAATAGCTGGCATTTATATAGCACCTGGTGCCAGGGTTATGGGCATTGAGGTGGAGCAGTGGATCGAGTGCTGAGGTGGGGTCAGGAAGACTCACCTTTCTGAGTTCAAATCTGATTTCAGACACTGACTAGCTGTGTAACCCTGGGCAATTCACTTAACTTTGCTTGCTTTAGTTTCCTCATCTGTAAAAACGGGTTGGAGAAGAAAATGGCAGGCCACTGCAGTATCTTTGCCAAGGAAACCCCAAATGAGGTCACAAAGAGTCAGACATAACTGAAAATGTGCCAGGTGCTTTACAAATATTACCTCATTTGATTGTCACAACAACCCTGGGAAGTAGGTGCTAGTATTATCCCCCTTTTATGGTGAAACTGAGACAGAGAGAGGTTAAGTGACTTGCCTAAGGTGACACAGATAGTAAATGTCTGAGGCTGGATTTGAATTCCAGGCCCAATATCTTTTGTGCCACCTCTAACCATCATGAGTAGTCCTGGCTAGATTAACTTCCTGGTGACTAGAATAAGGCTTGAGCGTTTTCTTTCCAAAATGTGATTAAACAACTCTGGCTAGTAACTGATTTGGCACAATATTGTATGTTAAGTGGGAAGTGTATTGACCATATTTGACTCCCAGGTCTACCATTTTCTGTACTTCTCTAGAGAAAGAAAATCAGGCACAAGCCCAGCTTGTATCCTTCAGATAAAGTGTAATGGAGTGGATCCAAGCACACCTTTCATCATCTAGTTTTTTGGTGTTTTTATGTGCATGTCGTATGTGGGCTTTGAAGCATTGTGAATCAGAATGGCAGACTGATCCAGACCCATGAACCCCAGACACTCATAGATCATAGGTTCACAGACGTACCTAGAAGAGACCTTAGAGATCATGGAATACACCCTGTGAAGCTCATAAAATAATTATTTTCCTTCTAAAATTATTTACTATAGGATTCCTTTAAAAAGCAACCTGTCTCCTCTACTTTCTATGCCTAGCTTTTTGGGGTTTTTTTGTTTTGTTTTTGGTTCAGACCCATGGCACTGTGGGTTTTATATGTATAGGCCAAGGAGGAAACTCTGTCCACCAATGCATCTCAGTAACAGCCCTGCAGTTTGTAGTTTTAAAGAGCTGCCTGGGACACTGAGAGGTAGAGTGCGTCTAGGGACACAATCACTATGTATTGGATTTGAACCCAGGTCTTTCATCCACCAAGTCCTAACACTCCTTCCCTTACAGCATTTAAAATAGGATTCAATTTGTACAGATTTGGTGAGTTTTCAGAAATATTTACTTTTATGGGAGGTCAGGTTTCTGTAGTCAATAACCATTACAGTTACCTGCTTAGGCTGGTATCAAGGTGAGAGGAAAATTTGCCCTTCTTACATGATGAAAGGAAAAAAAGCAGCATCAGGAGAACAGTAGTATCTTAGATCCCTTGTTTTAGAAATCTGATGATGAAATAGAAAACTTTCCTTATGGTGACTTAGACTTAACCATTTACATCATAATTGAGGTGTTATGAAGTACCTCAGATAGACAGTGGGGCTTGGAATGTAAGCTCCTTGAGGGCAGGGGCTTTTATAGGTATACCCCCCAATAGACAGCTCAGTACTTGGTACATAGTTGAGACTTAATAAATGCTTGTTGATTGATTGAAAAGTTAGTCTACTATGCCAAGTTTTGGGACAGCATGCTCATGGTGTCTTCCTGGTAACTCTGGAGAATCCAAATTCATATGAAACAAAAACAGTTAGGATCACTTTTCTATCCATTACTAAAATCCTATTGCAAAAGAGGAAACATAAATGGGACTTAAATAGCCAAGAGTGTTCTAGAACAGCATTTCCTAAACTTTCTTCTATAGAATCTTTCATGGGGTGGGAATAAGAGATCTGTGAGAAAATTTGGTTGCTTAATGATATTTTCCTCTTGAAAATACTAAGTGATGAAATCATGTATATGTTTTGTGCACCAATTTTGGGTGATGGAAATTGGCTTCAAAGGAGGATTTTAATGATAAAGGATGAGAAGATGACAGATTCCTCTACTTCCACCCCTGATTCCATCTTCTTTCCTTTACCTCTGAGGTTAAGTTCCCTCACCTGTTAAATGAGGAGAGGTGGCCTCTGAGAGCCTTTCTAGATGAAGTTCTAGGCTCCTGCTCTCTCCGGGGCAATCTTCTTGACCTCCTTGGCTTTAGTTATCTTTGTCTTTGCTCTCAAATTGTTCCTTAAGCTATCCTCCCTCCACCTCTTTACCTGTTGAGTTCTTTCTTACTCATCCCTTAAAGGGCAACATTGATCTCAGTTCCTCAATGAAGCCTTACCTGATCCCCCTGGTCAGTTTTCCCACAGAGCTCAGAGAGGACTTTGTTTTGCAACTCTTTAATGTACTTACAAAATGTTGTGCATTACAGTCAACTATTTGTGTCTTATAGACTTAAAGACAGGAACAGTGGCTTATTTCAATGTTTTAATTCTCCTGGTCTCAGTGCTCTGCACACAATAGATGCTTTGTAAATGTCTTTGGAATAAATGAATGACTCATTAATCATTCCCTTTCATTCTCCACCCCACCCACATACATAAACACTGATTTACAGACTTTAAAAACTTCTATCAGAAAATATTAGGCAATGCCACTAGATTAAGTATTTTGAATTGTAGGGAAATGGAAACATGTGGCTATATTATGCATATATATTTAAGCAGAGCTGCTATTCCTACCTGTGAAATCTGCTTGGGACTATAATGCATTGTCCCATTTGTGGAATGAAGGTCCCACATTGGTGTGGATTTTCTCAGAAATTTGACAGAAGAGAGTGGGGGTGGGGAGGGGATAGGATTTCTGTTGAAATTTGGATTTGAAAAAGGGAATGGGGATCATTATTTGGCCCTATACATCTTCCCTCATTCTTTTAATACCATTGCCCAAAACATTCAATAGGTTAAAATGATGGTTCCTGGGCCACTTGTGGGAGCAAGAAAATTGGAGCAGATGATCCCCCAAATCCTTTCCAGCTCTATCATTTTACAGGCAGTTTTTTGACCTCTTAGAATGACTTTGTGACAATAAAAGTAGGGCTTGGGCCTGTGATTTCATTGGCATAGAGAACAGTGAGGAAAATTCCTCTAGCAATGCAGGTCAATACCTTCTCTCTAAGAGCACTGAGAGAGAAGGAGGTCAGCGGAAGAGTGGGATTAAAAGATTTGCTCAGGGTCGTCCACCTAGGATGGGTCAGAGGCAGAATGAAACTCAGGTCTTTCTGGTTTTGAAGTTTTCTCTTGATTACACTCCAATGAACCCTGCTGTGCTCTGAGCCTCCCATTCTGATCATAGTATAGCTATAAAATTGGATATCCTCCACTGGTAAGTAGTCAGATCTATTTATAAGTAGAGGAGAGCAAAACAGAATTATCCACACAGGGAACTACTGTGATTTAAAATAAAGAATGTAATTAAAGCTGAGATGATAAAGTAATTATTCCCTAATGCAGTATGAGAAAATAGACACATAAAAGAGTATTTCATGACCCAAGTGGTCCAGGATGACCAAAGTGGAAAGTCAGGATCAAGGCTGCTAAAAGTCAGACTCTGGCTGGCAGCTGCCAGCACTGCTGAATCTTACTTTTCCTAATTAAATATTTTTAATGAAACAGTACATATATATAACCAGTAAGTAGACAGGCTTCTGGAAGTCCCACGCTAGACTGTGTTAAAACCAGCAGCTAAACAAATGTTTCAGTTGGAATTATAGCAAAGAGATTCAGGCCCAGGGAGAAGAGGTCATGTTTAAACCTATATGACTTTTAGATGCTTAAAACCTGTGAAAAAGAGACAGATATTTAGATCACTTTAGTCCATCTTCAATGTTCCAGGAGAGGATGGCTTTGCTCAGTCCTCTGATGTATTATCCAAAAGTACCCCAGAGAGACCAGCTTAATGTAAAGTTGTGGGCAATTCATTCATGACCTATTGCCATCTCCAGTTGCCCTGATCTATATCTGGCCTTTGAACCCAGATGGCTCTGGAGGAGAAAGTGAGGCTGTTGATTTTGCACAGCCTTCCCTCACTTAAATCTAGTTCCTTTGCAAGTCATGGTATCACCTCCCAGATGTCATGTCCTCTGAGTTCTAAGGACAAACAACAATTGACCTAGCACAGAGCTTCATACGTAGTGGTTGTGTGACTTCAGGCAAGTCACTTAAACTCTTTTAGTCTGTTTCCTCATCTGTAAAATGGAGACAATCATCATATTTGTATTATCTACCTCACAGGGCTGTTGTGAGGATTAAATGAGCTAATGTATATAAAGGTCTTCGTAGACTTAAAAAACAGTATTTAAGTGTCAGTTATTATTGTCTGGACCTGTGATGCCATCTGGGTAAGGAATTCCTAGCATGAAAACTTCTTGCCCATCCTGTATGACTCTTGTCCAAGTCATCCGTTAAGTTCCCCACAGGGGGAGCCTTCCTTGTTTCCTCTGGACATTGTGATGATACCAGTGGAGTGCTCGGACTTCCCCATTATCAATCACCCTCATCATGTGAGCAGGCCATTTTCTCTTTTAATAATGTATTTCCCTGATAATGGCCTTTACTCCTGATTTTCTTCAAAGTTCCTCATTTGTTATTAATTGTGGTGGGTTCATGATCACAACACCTATCTCTTTTAACCTCTTTATGATATCAATTTTTGGTTTCTTTAAAGACTATGTCTTACAGTCATCTAACAACCAAGAATGCATGTTTTAAAAAGATGAGCCTTTGTTTCCAGGAGAAATTTCAGGTTATTAAAGGACCTTTGCAATTTTCTAAAGGCAATCCAGCCCATACTCTTCCTCATGCTTAATTCTAGGTTCAACTTGTCCATTTGTATCATCCCAGTTATACATGGTGATGGATAACCTCTATAGATTGTCCTTCCAATTGCATGTAATAATCTAAGCAATAGAAATTCTTTATCCACTTGGTTTTTACCATATGGATGGTAAAGCCAAATTCTCTTGATTGGATTATAGATACCTTCTAGGAGACCACAGAGTTCCAGGGCTTGATGCAACCAGAATAATGCCATCTGCAAATGGAAGCAATCTAGAAGACCTCACCCTTCATAGGAAAGCTCTCTTCAACTTGGATTCTGAGCTTGATCTCCTCCATCACAGTGTGGACACCTTTGATGGGCATCTATCTCCTTGTTTTGTGATCCAGAGGGCTGTTGAATCAGGTTATTTCTGTTATATATTTCAAGGATTCTTGAATTCATCTTGATATATAGATGAGTGGCACCTGGTTGGAAGAGATCCCCTCAAGGCATTGCTTGCACTATCAAATTAATTTTTTTCACTATCAATAAACAACAATCCCTGTGTGTTCTTTGCATCATTCTTTTAACAGGGTGATGTTAAAGAGGTACCCTATTGTGCAAATTAAAGATAATAAAAGGAGGATGAGAAGAAAAGTGGGAAATACCTGCAGAGATTTTTACAATGAACTTTTATTACTGTCAGGCACTGTAGAACCAGCTCATTTGGACTGTAACATAACAGATGTGATTGCAGGGGAGGCTGAAACAGCACCAAAGGGAACATAGATGGAAAAAAGCAGCCAGATTACAAGTACACATAGACAATCTCTGTTCTGTAGGCGACTCAATGGTGAGGGAATTCAAGGATCAGTTCTTAAATTATCTGAAAGAAAAGAAGATACCAAAGATATGGAAAAACATCTCTAACCTTATTAGCGCCAAAGTAAGGCTACAGAAAGAACATTAATAACTATAGACCTATATGCCTCCTTTTCCATCTACATACAATTTTTATGAGACAGATGTCTATATATGCATTGAGGGACATTTTTAATGAAGACATTAGTGGGAAACAGGCAGGAATTAATGAGCTAAAAATATACATAAATATGTTTGTATACATACATTATATATGCATGTTTATATGTGTATGTATGCACACCACCCATATAGACACACATGTTTTTATATACAATGCATACGCCAAATGTGTATGTACACATGTAAGTGTGTTCACACATATGTATATACACACGTTTATATACACACATGCTTACACATATGCATACATATATACCATACGGGTGGGTATATATGTACAAATACAACAATATACCTGGCAGTGATAGGCACTTAAAGCAACTGTAATATCATAAGATGTGTCTGTTCACGAGTTCTTCCATCTGATGACTCCTTTGTCACAGAATTCTGGTTACTCAGCATTTACTAGGGAAGACCAGACTGAAGCTTAGTTTGCCAGAGAAAACCAAACAATTCTTATTTACCAAACTGTCAAAATCCTATCATTGCAATTAAGGGGATAGGCAATTAACTGTGTCTTAATTACAGCAGCTGCCACTTCATCTGAATGCTGTAATTTGCAGAGAAAATGGGGGAAAACTTTAATTTAATGTGTGTCTTTAAACAACAGAAAACATTG